ATTATTAGGTCACTTTTACCGCTTTCCATCGCTGCTGTAAGCATACTATCTACTTGCAGTAGGTCATAGTTTCTTGTGATTCTCCTAAGCAAAATTAATTTACCGTCCCCCCTTTTAATTGGAAAATGATGAACACATATGAGCAAGCGTGCCAAATAAAGGATTAACCTTTAGAGGCAAATTTTAGTTCATCCTCATGAAAGCATTCTTATGGTGTGTGAAAAATTTGATGCACTAATTTCAGGTTTAAACAATGGAAAGGAAAATGGTACAAAAAGTTAGTTCTCAAGTAAGTGATCATTATAAAGCATGTGCAAACAACATCTGAAGCTATTTTATGACAATGTACTCATCAGCTACCAGTGCCGCAACCCTATGGTCTCAGTTGCGCATCTATAACATTTTGGGGATACTTTAAAGGAAACAAAACTAACAACAGAAGCCAAATTTACTGTACATGTTCTCATTTGTACAACCATGAAACATTATACAGTCAAAAGACGTTAATTCGGACACCCATAATCTGGAATGATCTATAATCCGAACCTCAAAGCTACAAACTTTCTGCGCATGCATCGCTTTGACGCATGCGCGCAAGACCTTTACGGCTGCAAACATGTGTGTGCGCATGCACATAATACGTTTATGCATGAGCGTTTAATGTATAACAAACGGTATAAGCTAAGCTAAAATTATCTATTTCAGTTAATGTTGCAGATTGCATTGTTCCTTAATCTTCAAATTGGATCCGGCTTATTATTTTTTGCAGACTGTTAGAGCAATTTTATAAAAGTAAGCTTGAACTTTCAATTATGTCAAATAGAATTTCCGATATATATTTACTAATATGTAAAGGATCTACAAAGCGAAAGTATGTTTCGAAGTCCATTAAACAAAAAGAGGAATTGCTGCAAAATGTGGGTAAAGGCATATCCTTTGTTTCTCTAACCATTCCGAAATCTGTTTATCATTTATACAGGTAATATTTTTTTAATTTTTTGTTTAATAAATGATAAAAATTCAATTTAGGATTTAAAATGACTACTACTGCATCATCTTTGAATAACACATGATTATCACTATATACTTGTATAATTTGCTTTAATACAATAATAATAATTTATTTAATATATATTAATAATTTTTATTTTAACTAATACACTTTCTATAGAGATTACTTTTACCACTGTTCATTCTTTATCTCATTATGAGATAGATAATTCATCAATCTCCTACAATCATCATCCTTTTTTCTACAATTCTTGAGAATGATATTCCATCAATAACACTAACCTCATTAACTGGTTTTCTTCTGGAGATATTACAGAATGCTGTTGTTTCAAAAGGGGTACCAAATTTTACCAAAAAGTAGAGTAAAAGAGAGATGTGCATTTGACAGCATCATGTGAAGAGATTATGACAGTTAGCAGTGAGATAGTAACAACCAAAGTTTAGTTCTTCAAACTAAAGCAATAAACAATACTAGAAGCTAAAATTTTTCTGTCTCAAACTGCTTGCCATTTGAAATTCTTCACAATTCCCTACAAATGTTGTGGTATCGGTGCTATTGTAAATGCTTTCACGGGGCTTCCTTTCTTAGATGTTTCTCATCATAGACAGTCATTTTCTTTATTAAGTTTTTTAGATCAAGTCTTTCCTGAAGTTTAAGCATTTCTGACCAAAATTAGAATAAAAAAATTTGAAACGTGGTTCTTCTAATGCGTGTGCTGGGGGAGGGAAGAACTTGTAATTACATAATATATCATTAATGAATTAATATCTATAATTTTCTATTGCTAGATAAAAAGTAAAGCACAAATATGGATATGAAATAAATTCCATCAATAAAAATTTTCTGCACATCAAAATTTTGATTACAAAACTGAATAAAAATTTTAATTGGGATTTTTATTCCAAGTAAGCATGGGTTAGTACAATGGGAATTTTTTATTCCTTTGAAATATCTAGCATGATAACAGATCTCCAAACACAGATACAACCTACATACTTTGCCATTACCAATTATTTACTTAGCCTATTTTTAAAGAAAAACTACCTATATATTTAAAAAAAAAAAAAAAAAGTACATTTGCTGACACTGAAATAAATTAAATTTTAGACTTTTTTAATGCTTTACAATTGGGGGGGGGAAGAAATAATCACATAAATAATATTACAACTAAATAAATTGTTGTGTCAACGTTAGAAGTATATTTTCAATGGCAACTACCTCAAATTTTGCTTTCTGAATATACAAAAGTTAAGAATTGATCCAGTGTAATTACACATTTACAGGACAATATACATAAATTTTGAATTTAAACCTAAGCTATCATACTTCTTAAAAGAAATGACTGCCCAATATAATTAAAAAGAAACAGTTATTTCAAATAAATAATAAATATTTAACTACTGCTTTCCTAAATCAAAATATGATCACGTATATCACAAAATTATGTACTCTAGTCCAATTACAATACCTCACTATACAAGATATACTAAAATAAGATGAAAATATTTCAAAATTACAGACGAAAATTTTGGTGAAAAGTATTATTTTATACAAAATGTTATTTATACATTTCAGCACTAAATTATACGAATCCTTTTATTGCGATATACACTTTTGCAAAATTTGATGTTTTTATTTTACTGTTCATTACTATCTATTTGAATATGTGCACCAGCAATTAAATAACTATATGTCTATGATAAAGTGACCACACATCCCGATTTTGGCGGGACAGTCCCGCTTTTTAGAAAACATATGCTTTTCTTATTTTAAATGTACTGTAAAAATATATTACCTATTATTTATTAATTATTATAGTGAATATAAAGAAATAAACACATAAAATGCATGCAGAGTTAACTAAATTAGGTGATGTAACAAGTTAGATTTACTCGGTGGTGTTCGATCATTAACATTACGTCTTGTCAAGCAATATGTATTATTAACGGAGGAACAGCAAGCATTAGCTGAAGGGTTATTTGCTTTCCACACCATAAACCACAATCAAAGTTTCAGATCAATTGATTGTATGTCACAAATGATCATCGTACGACAAAAAATTTGCATGTGCAAGGACAAACCGAAGCAATTATTTGTAATGTTTTTTCCCTATATTCTTTTTCACAATTGCAGAAAGAATTAGATAAATGCACATTTATATCCATATATTATGATGCTTCCAACCACAAAGATTTAATATTATTCCCCACAACTGTTTGACTTTTTGGTCCAGAAACCGGAATTAAAATTAGAATATTAGATTTTGTTTCATTGCCGGGTGAAACTTCACAAATAATTTTTGATTCAATAAGTACTATTTAAAAAAATAATAATTTGAACAATAAAAGTTATTACCTATTGTGTGGCAATAATTATATTGTTGACACTAATGCAAATTTTGGTGGAAAAGCTAGAAGAGGCATCAATAACGTTTTTATGAAACTTAACGAACAGTTGAACCAATCAACTATTGGGGTAGGTTGTGCAGCGCACATTCTACACAGTACTATTCAAACAGCACCTGACTTACTTCTAGTGGATCTTGAAAATATTAATGCAAAAATTTATTCGTATTTATATATATATATACACTGTGTGTGTTGAAAGTTTGAAGGATTTTTGTGGAAGTGCAGAAATCGAATATAAAAGAATTATTGGTTACAGCAAAACACGATGGCTAGCTCTTTTAGCTGTAGAAAATATTTTTTAAATATACGAACCATTAAAATCATACTTTTTATCACAAGATAAATGTCCAAGAATATTGCAGCTCTTTATTGAAAATGACACATCACAAATTTGGCATCAGTTCATCCACAACCAAGCTACATCATTTCACAATGCTGTGAAAATTATTGAAGGGGACAAAATTCCAATTATGGAAGTGTCAAACGAAATCAATAATTTAAAAACAAAATTGCGAGAAAGAATTGATAATGATTACGTTCCTTTAGTTATTCGAAAGGACATCACTAGGTTGGAAGAACAAGGTGCCGTTAAACAACCTGATTTTCCGAAAGAAGTCTGAAATTTTTATAATAACTGCTTGGAATATCTTGAAGAACAGACAGTTCAATTCGAGGATATTAAAAAGTTTCATTGGGTGACATTAAAAATGGAGATTTTATGGGAATATGTGAAAAAATCTTTTTAATATATTAGTAACCATTTTCCGAAAAATAATATTTGCGAAAATGATCTTTTTGATGAGGTGTAATTTTTAAAAATATACGTTACTGAAGAAAAAATTAAATGTTCATTGTCTGCAAATGTGGAAACAGACAAAAAAATGGATGGAGTTATTCCTTCATTTTAAACAGAATAATATTGCTTATGAAAATATTTTTAAAATTGTAGAACACGCGTTCTCCCTTCCAGGAAGAAATGCAGCAATAAAGCGTGTTTTTTCTAGTATCAATAAAATATGGACAGCTTAAAAAAAATGCAGTTGAACATTAAAAACTTAAAAATAAGCATAAAATATAATTTGATCAATTCATGTAAGAAATTTCTCTACATTTTAATAAATGATCTGAATCTATCGCAAAGTGTTCACTCGAATAAAAATATGACCGTGAAAGAAAACCATAAATTTTTTTTAATAAAATTTTTATTGAATTAAAAAACATAATATTCAAATTATAGTTTTTTACAAATATTTTTATAGTTACCAATAGTTAATAATAAATATATTTTTGTATATTTATAGATAAGTAAATGAATATATACAATAAAATACATTTTTTTTAAATTATTGGTCTGCTTTCATAACTAAATTACAATTCTCATTTCATTCCATTTGTCCCGCTTTGTCTCAATGAAAATGTGGTCACTTTAGTCTATGAGCAACTAATATCTAATAAAAGATCCAAACTGAAAGCATTAGAAATGACAACTTGGTAAAATATTAAAAATGTCTCAAATTAGAAATTTCACAGTATTAGTAAATGGAAAAAATACCTGAATTAAAAATAAATGATTAACTTACCATAAAAATAATTCACTTTACACACATATTTTGACGCGGTTAACAGTAGAATACACTACACCACAAACAGGAACTTAAAAACATTCACATAAAGCATAATCCCGGTAGAAAATTATAATCTGATATTAAAAATCTATCTCATATTCATAATCATCGCCTCGGCGCTAAGGATCAGAGCTAGAAACTGCATCAATTGCTAAACATTACTGAACCAACTATGAAATTCTAAAGCGCGCGCATCCTACACAACACAGACAATCGACTTGCTTCTACTGTTGCTGCTTTTCGGTTTGTTTTGCTTTCGCATTTTCTGCAACAAAAAAAGAGATTTTCTTATCACATGACTGGAACAGTAGAGTTGAGATGTAAATGGCTTCCTTCAGACGTTTTTTGCTAATATCCGTTCTGAAATGAGATGCAACTTTTTATCGACGATCCTATTTCTTGGGCTAATAAATAGGTCGCTCAAGAAACTAGACCCAGTTTTCACTTTATATGCTTTAGTAAGTTGGTCCAACAAAATTAAATTACTTTGATTCAAGTTCGCTGATTACGCAAACTTTTGACATTCAGTTGAAGGTAAAATATGTTTACTATGGCCGACTAGGCGGTATAGTGGTTAGCGACCCTGACTGCCGTAATTGTCTAGCGGTGTGGGTTCAGTGAAATGCATGACGCAACCAAAACAGACTAGTTCACGGCACAAACATTTATTTCTAACTAACTCATAAGACAGCAGCGATGCGCTATTTACGCAGTTACATTACATTCTACTCTACTCTCGCTCACAGAGGTTTTCGGGTATAAGAGTACTGATACTCTCGAAATCAAATGCTACATCCCTCCCCACTTATTTAGAGATTTAATCTCTGAGGAGCTTTGCGGATGCGCGAAGATCGTCTAAGTCCTGGCTGAGGGTTGCTGCAACTCTTTATCAGGATTCACTGGAATGACTGGCTCAGTTTTCCTTGGAACTGACGATGTTTCAAGTCCGGCTGAAGTTTGCACAGCTTCACTTCTTTGTTCAATGACCTTGTCGGGAGCCTGTGGCTTCACATTTCCATCTGAAGTAGCAGCCATATGAGGTTCATAGATTATCGGTGCAGACGGAACCTCGCTCCCTACTGATCTGATCTGATCTGATCGACGTGCCGGCGCAGTAAAGTTCCTTGAACGTCAATGGTATAATGCAGCGCTCCATCCTTATTTGTCACTCTGCCAAGTTTCCAGCGGGAATTTGCCGATTTATAATCCCGAATAGCAACCTTTTCTCCGATCTCAAAATTTCTGTCTTTGAAATCATAAGTATTCCTTCGGATGCGTTCTTCCACTCTTCGTTTAAGATTCGGAACAACTAAATCAATTCGAGTTCTAATTTCTCTTTTTAAGAATAACATTGCTGGACCAGGTTGTCATATTCGGTGTCTTTCATTTCTTTATCACCCCTGTAAGTTTTAAAAACTAAATTTGTAGGCTGAATCTTTTTATTGGAAATTTTTCTAAATTTATTTATAGACATTACCGAAACTGTTCCCCCAGTATCAAGTTCCATGCTAACTGGTTTGTTTTCAATTTTAACTTGAACCATTATTGGCGGTCTTTTCGGCTCTTCCTCTTTCTTAACATGTGCGTTCTGGAGGCTAAATCCATAGATGGGACCTCTCATTTTTCGAATCATAATCATCATTTGCCTCAACTTTCTTTTGTTTAACCTGTCGATTTTTTTAGACAAATAACACGCCCTTTCGATATGTCCAATTTTTTTACAAAAGCGGCATTCACTTGTTGCAAATCTACAGTTGTTTTTATTGTGATTTGCTCCTAAGCAACGCGAAACTAAGTTTCATTTTTACCTTTATTATTCTTAGCAACAAAGTTTTGTTTCCGCGGTTTGGACTCATTTTTCTTTTTGGTTTTAAGTACCTTCAGTTCTACGGAATTTCCTATAATCTCATTTGCACCCTTAACCGCCTTTTCCATCGCCAAGGCTATCTTTAATGTTTTCTCTAAATCGATATCATCTTCCTGAAATAATCGATCTAAGATATTACGATCTCGTAGACCGCTAACGGAAAACATCCCTTAACATTGTATTTAGCATATCCTCTTTATATTCACAAGGAATTGCTAACGAGCATAATTCAGTGACATAACTACTTAATTGATTCCCCCTCATGCTGTTTTCTATTTAATAAACATGTGCCGACTAGGTATTATTAAAGCTTTAGGATTTAATTATCCTTAAGAACCTTTTTTAGTTCGGTAAAATTTTTATCTGAAGGATTATCCGGAGAGAGTAAATTTTTCAATAAATTATACAATTTCGCATTCAAGCTTGAGATCAGAACTTTCCCACGTTTTGCCTCTGGAACATTTTGAATGTCCAAAAAAGCCTCAAATCGTTCTATGAACGAATCAAAATTTTCTACCGTTTCATCGAACTTATCAAAAGAAACAGAACTTTTGTCTTATTTTTGTTCCGATTTCTCTTGGAATGTGGCCATTAAAGCTTCATTCTGCTTTATCAATTCTTCAATTAACTTCTCCATCCTTTCAAATTAAAATCAAATAACTTTCCTACCTTTTGCAGTTTTCGGGGAATTCCCTAAATCCAAGTTTCAGTTTTGCTACTACTTACGCATGTAACCGAGTGCGCCGAGTCAGGAACGATTTTCTTCTCACACAGCCTCGTCGCCAACTTGTTGTGTCTAGCGGTGTGGGTTCAGTGAAATGCATGACGCAACCAAAACAGACTAGTTCACGGCACAAACATTTATTTCTAACTAACTCATAAGACAGCAGCGATGCACTATTTACGCAGTTACACTACATTCTACTCTACTCTCGCTCACAGAGGTTCTCGGGTATAAGAGTACTGATACTCTCGAAATCAGATGCTACAGTAAGGATGGGCCCGAATTCGGATCCTGGAGAAGGCATGGTTGTAAATGTCCGTACCTTCATAGGAGGTAACGGTGGCCACCTACTAGGTGCTTCCATAATGAAATAGCGACGGCTTTCTGCCCTTATAGTGGCGCAAGGTTATTAAATAAAGCACCGGCCATTAAAACAATATGCTGACAGTAGAGGCCAAATTCACTATTCAACATATTCCCAAAATTCGTTTCCTAAACAGACGGTTATTGGCTCAGTTTCTATGAGATTCAGCCACTCTAATTAACACTATTGGGAAAACTACTATAAAATATATAGTATAAAATTTATTGCCCTTCCCGGAAAGTAAAGTTTCAGTTTTTGAATGAAGGCTTTTCTGGAGTTAAGCTTTTGAGCTTCTATCCAAGGATTTGTTTTTCCGAGTAAGAAAGACGTGTTTTAAAATTAGGATGTATTTTTAAGTCATACTTATTATTAAAATAAAATGCTTCGAGATTAGAAGAACATTCTGCTGAAATTATGGTTCAGTTTCATGAAAAAAAAAGTGCTCGCGTTTATCTTATTTACGGCTTCAGTGTCACCGGATAGAAGTTCGGTTATATAAATAAAAAACGAGAAGTACAGGAGACGAGCTCCAGTATTCTCTAGAGCATTATCACCATTATTAGGAGAAATGCTTTTCGGTAACTGAAAGCGGTTAGTGATTGGATTGACAATATTTTCACTTTTTTCGACAGAATTTTGCTTGACGACATTTGGCCATAATTTTCGCCAAACGTTTTGTGACATTGTTTGCTTATATGTTTCCAAACAACATCAACCTATAATATTGTAACTTCTGTATCGAAGTAAACTTGAAAGTCTTTGACTTTGCAATCAGAATTCAATAAATTTTAACAAATATATTCCTATACTTGAAGTTTTAACAACATCTTTATATACTAAGAAAAACCGAAATCCTATATTTACAATTAGAGTTTTGAACATCTTCTCGATAGACCTTCATTGAATCAATATTTGGTAAAACGTATGACACAGACGTTAATCTTCAGTCAAAAAACTGTCTTAATGAATATGAAAATATTTTTAACGAATGGGCTGAAGAAGGTATTATAGAATCTGTTGAAGATAAAAATACCGAAAATTGTCATTACCTACCACATAATAGTACACAGGATTTTCGACCCGATTGGGTTTACAGCTCCTGTTACTCAGATTCCAAAGCTAATGCTTCAAGAATGCTGGAAACAGAATATTTCCTGGGATAACAATTTACCTAAAAGCATTTGACAAATTCGAAAGTTGGAAAAATAAATTGCACAATTTGGAAAAAATAGCCATACCCAGAAGAATATTTGCTGACTTCGCAAGAATTTCCGATTTATCTTTACACGTGTTTTGTGACGCGAGTAAATCTGCTTATGCCATGTGCATATTTATGCGAAGCTGTAATGAAAATTCCGTTACATGTCAGATCATCTCAGCTCGATCCAGAGTGGCTCCTATCAAGCCGATTTCCATACCACGATTAGAGCTCGTAGCTTGTACGATTGGCGCTAGACTGGCACATCGTGTTAAGGAAGATTTGAGACTAGAAACCTTGCCTATTTATTATTGGAGTGATTCCATGAATGCATTATTTTGGATCAAAAAGAAGGAAAAACTGGGCCGTTTTCGTTCACAATAGAGTGAAAGAAATCCATACTCTAAGTAATCCAAACGACTGGAATTATATTCCTGAAACGCAAAATCCAGCGGACATCCTTTCCCGAGGATGCAGTCCGGAAACTTTAGTCAAATCGAAATGGTGGGAGGGTCCCCACTGGTTGAGAAATGATCCAGAAAAATGGCCTACCTCTGAAATTGTACCGAATTTTTACATTATAAATGCTGAAAGAAAGAAGACCATAATTTCTGCAGTTAATTCGAATGCTATGACTGAAGTTAATTTTGATAAGATTTCTTCGCACAATACCATTCTAAAGATAATATCTTGGATCTTCCGTTTCTTTAAAAATGTCAGACTAAATCCTAATGAAAGAACGTTTGGAACAATCACAGCGGAGGAAATTAAAGGAGCCGAATTAACTCTTTTGAGATTAGTGCAGAGTGAATCATTTTCTGAATTAGATGACGAAAGATTACATGTACTTCAACTAATGATTGATTCTAACGGAATCCTTCGGGTTAAAACCAGAATTCTGAGAAGAGATGATACCGAAAATTTTCGATTTCCTATTATTCTTCCTTCAGATCATCCTATTGTAGTCAAATTAATTAGAGCTAAACATGAAATAAACAATCATGCTGGAGTAAAATTTTTTACATCCGCTGTACGAGAACAATATTGGATTTTGAAAACACGAACGACTATCAAGAAAGTCATAAGAAACTGTGTTGTGTGTCAGAGGCTCAATGCTAGTTCTTCGAAAACACCCACTGCCCCTCTCCTTGAAGGTAACAGAAGCAGCAGTTTTTGAGATTGTAGGTGTTGACTTGACTAGACCATTGATACTGAAGGAAAATCAAAAATCATGGATTGTGATTTTTACCTGTGCTGTTTTTCACGCAGTACATTTGGAATTGATTTTCTCCCTATCAACTGAAAGTTTTCTGCAAGCGCTGAGACGTTTCATTGCTAGACGTGGAAGACCCCACACCATCTACTTCCGACAATGGAACGAATTTCAAAGGAAGTGATAGATTATTCAAAAGCTTAAATTGGGATAAAATCTTAGAACATGCTAGTATCCACAGGATCACATGGAAATTTCTTCCGCCATCAGCTCCTTGGTGGGGAGGATGGTGGGAGCGATTAATAGGAGTCCTGAAAAGAATCCTTCGCAAAGTTTTAGGACGATCATCTCTGAATCATGAAGAAATGATAACAATTTTGTGTGACTGTGAAGCAATAATGAATAATCGTCCATTGACGTATGTCTCGGAAGATGTTGAAGATTTATCTCCGATCACACCTTCCATGTTTCTCCATGAGATTCGACAAATTGGAGTTCCTGATCTGGATAATATAGATGCGAAAATCTTTAAACAAAAGGCTTATTTATCGACAAAAACTTTTACAAGATCTACGTAAAAGATTTCGAATCGAATATCTCGGACAGTTTACAGGCAAAATTATGAACATGTAAAAGCCTTCAACAACCTCTTCAGAATAGGAGATCTTGTTTTAGTGTCCGATGATAATAAGAAGCGAACAGACTGGTTATTGGCGAAGGTAACCGAGATTTTCAAATCTCGGGATGGACATGTGCGTTTAGCTAAGGTCAAGACTAAGCTTGGAGAAATTTTGCGACCAACCAAGCGTTTGTATCCTTTGGAGTTAACATCATCAGATGAACAGTACTGCGATCCTGATATTCGTAAAGACTTGCCTCAAGATCTTAGGAGCGAAAAGATTCCATCGATGACTACAAGAAGTGGTCGAATGGTAAAGCCTGTTCAAAGGTTACAGTTTTAAATTTGATTTTTGAGCAAATTTAAAGGTGGGAGTATGTTGAAACTCTCACCGACAACCACGTGAATTGCGCATGCGCGCAGCAAAAACTAAAACAGAACTTTTTAACTGAACTTTGAGAACTCGTGATGGAACATTTGAGTGAAACATGTAATCCTTCTTTTCTGTGTTATATATATATTTTAGTTTAGTGATGTGATTGTAAATTAAATATCTTATTATCTTAGAAGCCTCTCTTTTTCCGTGAGTAGTGCCTTTGATGAATGTAATTAATAAAAACATTCCCGGATACGCCTTTGGAACGAGAAAGAAGATCGAATAAAAGGTATGAGCCTTTTTACCTTTTATTTTATAAGAATGATTATGCTGTTAATCATATCATGAACATAACAGAGACATTTGGGTTATTTTTTTAAGGAGGAGAGATGAAAAATAAGCAACGCCCTCTCCGGTAATCGAGTCACGGACCTCTGGAAATACGCGCCTAGTGTGCAGACCACTACACTACGAAGGCGGTCTACATGGTGCACATTCTGTTTACGCGTTAGACAGAAAAATCTTGTGTCTAACATGAAAGGCTTGTGTTTCAAGAAATGTTTTCACACCAATAACATATCTCGTGACCCGCTAGGCTAATGCAGAAAATAAATATATTAGGCTTTACTGAAATGTTGATGCTAGTGCATTTCCAATGAAGAATTTTTTTTTATAAAAATTAAAACGCTTCTACACATTTTTCTAGATTAGCAATTTATGGTTTTTATTCTGTAACAACAACAACAACAAAATGTTCTTTCGTAAAAACATTACAAATAAACTCATACAGTAAAAATACATTATAAACATACTGCGTGTGGATTTATTTACACACACTATAATATACATATATATATATATATATGTATACACTTTATATATATATATGTATGTATACACTTTATATATATATATATATATGTATGTATACACTTTATGTATATATATATACGTACACATGTACATTACATACACAATAAGAACAGATATTTTTGAGGAAAAAAGCACATTAAGTGAAACATGAGAGTGCAATATAAAAATCAGTGTTGCGTCCAGAGCTTACATAATTGAAATCAAACACAAATAGTATTTTCTTAAAATGCTTTAAAGTATGGATGTAGTTCACAGTTTTTGAGCACAGAAGAATGAAACTAGGAAGAAAAAAAAAGAACATCCAAGACAACATACTTCGCATAACCTAGATTGCTTTCACATTAATTTCGTAGAATGACATAAAGTGCACAGTGTTATATACATTATACAAACATTTCCATGAATTTCGGTTTTCGGAAACAAGATTTTATTATTTTATGTTAGTCCTGGAAAAGCTGAATAATAAATTCATAAGTACTAAAAATTATTAAAATAAAAACGTTTCACATTATTTAAAATAGTACTTTTTAGTCTAGTAGTATTTTTTGAAGAGATATGAATAGAAAAGACTAAAAACTAGAATAAATATTCTACATAAGTCACTTAAGTTATACAGTTTTCTTAACATTGACAAAATTTCAAGAATATTTTCTAATTTTTGACCGATTACTGGAAGCACTTTCATAAGTTCTGGAGTACTTTTGTACTTTCTTATTAGGTACATTATTTTCTGACGTGCTGTTAGGGAGTGAAATGTATAATTTCATATGAAGCAAGGATCTCTTCAGGGACAAGTGCTAACTTAGACTAACTTAGACTTAGCAAACTTAGGAGACGAGAGTCTGCATTATTAACACGAGTGAAATAAGTTTGCTAGATGTAAATTAAAGGAAAAAACATGTACAGAAAGTTATGATGTTGTATGCATGGTAACTATTCTGGACCAAACAGTCATTTCGTTATAATTAACACAAATTGGCTACTTATTCTAAATCTGATTTTACAAGTATGAAAATAGAAATAAGTGTCATTTTTAATGAAAAAAACGAAATTAATTTAAAAATTTAATAGAAGATTTTACTGTTGAGCATATTTCCTATTCGTTTTCTGTATAAAAAGTTCAAAAATATCTAAGCAACTGTTAAAATGATTTGTTACTTAATGTTTCCGATTAATTTGTTATTTTTATATTTTTTTAATAAATTACAGACAATTACTCTTGTCACAGACTCTGTGGGCACAGAAAAAATTTGCGTAGTCAAACTGCCAGAACAGTTTCCAAATTTTCAGAGTTTATCGTTAAAAAGGGGATATCAAAGAGGTTTACTTAAATAAAAACATTTATTACTGCTTATAATGTAATTTATTCTTAAAGAGCATTAAATATTTTAATAAAATAAATAAATAAATATTTTAATAAATGCAACAAGTACGACAAAAATATTTTGCAGTTTTTTTACCAATAACTTCTTTTGCTCAAATTAGGGTGAAAGAAGTTTGAAGAACTCTGAGCTTTCTATAAAATGGGTATTTCAAAATAAATTATCAGCTCAGTAAGTAAGAGTACAGGTATGTTCCACAACTGAACATATACAGCAGGACACTGTTGTCCTTTTAGCAGTAAAATACTTTGCAGAAGCATATTATTTACTTTCGCTGCACTGACTAGCAGTAAAATGGAAGACATTCGTTCAACATATATTTTATAGTGTATATATATATATATATTAGCAATATAATAACAAAAGGTTTCCAACACCAATAAATATTTTCTAGTTTATAAATATTCTGCAAAACATAGAAACGTTGTTTTGTTATACATATTTGTGCACTTACAGTATAATTAACAGCAAACTTGAACACACATTTCATCAAGAAAATTTAATTTGAAACACGGCTCTAGATTCTCTTTTGCAAATTAACATTTTATATCCTTTTACATTTACGGATAAATTACGAGCAATTTAGCAGTTAAAACTATTACTTATCGTATAACAAAAAATTTATGCGGAACAATCTATTTAAGCTAAAAACATTTGCTTTTATAAATATTAATGCACGTACGTCAAGTGACATATTTTTGGAAAATTATATTAACACATCCTGATCAAGGAAAGATTTATACATTTATCTAATAAAATTTATTGTGAAGGTAAATCACATCAGCTGACTGTGAAGTCACAACATAAAGGCATTCTGAGCAATGATTATTATTGAATAAAGAATTCCTTACATGTTCTAAGCACAAACGTTATGGTTTCGCCAGTGTTATGTCTTGGGGGGTAGGAATGTCCCCCCCCCACTTGCTTTTGGGAATAATCCTGTCTCATCCGAAATTTAAGAAAGGCAATGCGTATATTCCCGAATCACTATTTCTCTAAATAAAACTTGCAAAATTATTACGTTAGGCTTATGGATATTTTAAACAATTTCTTAAGATTTCTGCTTAAGAAAGAAAGAAATATTTACATCATTTGTGCGAGCATCGTGGTATAACTTTGTGGAACACGAGGAGTTAGAGTTAACCAAAAATATTATTAATGATTGAACGGATGAATGATTTGAACTAGATACAAGTGTCCATATAAAAAAAATTATACAAAATAGTATTTTATAATATTAACTTTAAAATAATGCTAGAAGAATTCGTGAATTATAAACAAAAGGAAGTAGAGCATAGGGTATTATTTTCCTTTTCCAGAAATCTATACTATAAAATTTCTATGTATGGTAGTTTCTGAGAACTATGCTTAGTCCACCTCAGTGACTTGTTAAAATATAAGGACGAATTTTTCAGCGATTTTTTTTACGTGATCAAATTTCTTTCGTAAAAAAGTAAAAGCTGAGAGAAATAGCATTATAGTGGACTCAGAAAAATTCGGAGAAATTGTGGGAGATTAAGTTATTTTTTTATGAAGGAATATTTGTTACTCGGTTAAATTAGATCCTGTCAGACTAAATATTTTGAAAAAGAGTTGCATTTTTAGTGAATTTTTTTATAGCTTAGGTTAACGTTCCGATTCAGCCTCAAGTTTGAGTAATTATTTCGCTTACATTTCGAAATGGGTAAGAGTTCCATTATCGAAATCATTCAGGACTATTTATTAAAAGACAAGAAATTATCTCAGATGTCATTTATCGCTCAAGATATTTTCAGTCTTCCCTTCATATACATTTTTTGTTAGCTGTTAATACGCCAGATATTTGTTACTAAATGGGTGTTTTTGTTCAGTAATAAATGTCATGTGTACTTACAAATGATAAATTTGTTGCATTGTCTGTTATCCTTTCACCGTATCAGTGGCAATCTTAGGAAAAACTTTTAATTTCACCTTTAAGACTGAAAAAATGGTTACCTGTCGATTTTATAATTTACTCTTGCACCTGAACTTTTAGTGATTTTAAACCCTTCCCGTATAATTCGAGATTTTAATTACTTTGCAAATGCAATGAACATAATTATAAAAAATCTTTTTAACATAATGAATTCTATTGAAATTTCTGACTTTGAATAAATCGAATTTCACTAAAATCAGATAACTTTCTTTTTACTTTCCGTTACTCAGGACAGAAATTAAATTAGGGAAATACATTTTTTCATTCTTTTTTGAGGTATTATCTTAAAACTATTTAACATATAGTACATATAAGATCTAAATAAATAAAGCTAATAAAATATAAGGGTACGTAGAGATGTATATCTTCTCGTTTATGATGAAATACATTATATACATGAATATTCATGCATCACACGGAGCTCGTATTATATGAAAAAATAATTTTTACAAATGTTGAAATGCAAAAGAGTTGGCGAGACAAAGTTTCCCCATCAATTTTGAGGATTTCAAGAACTCGTACAAATTCTGTAGTACAGTGATGCTTCAGTTCTTCACGAACTGTACATTTAGCTAAGAAAGAAATTCTACATCTGAGCGCTGGAAGACGTAAGAGACTTTCTTGTTTTAACATGTATTAAATTTAGCTTGACTTTCAGAATCCTCCATCTGAGATGCTTTAAAGCGACGAAGATCAGATTTTATGAAACCTGAAAAGAAAAGTACAGTTTTAAAAACAAAAGCAAATGTAGTAGTCCTGGATTTACGCCTTCCTCATAAGTATACATTCCGAATACCGCAGATACTGAAATAATGAAGTTAAAGAAGCATTTTTTTTTTTTTTTTCCTTTATCATTTTAAAATTTTGTGCGGTGTTGTTCGGGATTCGCTTCATTGAGTTTGATTAACCTGCAAAAAAGCTTTCCGTAAAATGCAAATTTATACGTAACCGAGTTTATGCCTGTGTTTTTCTGCCAGCGCTATTAAACTATCAAAAGAAAAGGGTGAACTTAATTTCTGCTGTCGTCGTTTGTTATTCATGTACCGCATTCATGGAGAGAGGTTCCGCAAAGATGGATCATAGCACAAAGGTACATCGTTATACAAAATTGCAGACGGTCACAATAGAGTGGAGAACGTTTTATGAAACGTTCTATATTTTGCATCATATCTTTAAAAATTCAGGGCCATTATATTATTTTGCCGATATTTGAATATCGAAAGCGAATTCCATCGATTTCTATTTGATTTGCATTATAAAATCTTTTAAATTTACATCGGTGTACCAACATCTTATCGACGGCGTAAATCGAGGCTTATCTGGGTGGATTGAAAAAGAGAAACTTTACTGTTTTTATAGTTCTGATGACATTTTATTACAGTAACTAAGTTTGCCTTTGTTTCAGTTGCTACGCGATAAAAACTGGTATTTAATATTAAAAAACTGATTAAAAAATTTGGTCTTTTTATTAAACAGAAAACTATGAAAATGTTTACCTCCTTCTTCCAAACATGTTAGGATGAAATATGTTTCCATTTTGTTTACATCTGATTTTATACATTTCTGTACCTTCCTGCCTGAACAGAATCTCAAATACTTTACAATGACATCAAAATATCTCATTTCATAAACACGAATATAATCATTTGTAATGTATTTTATATTAAAGAAACCAATTATTATGATTTGAGCCTTTAACTATAACTTCTCCTTTCCCTAGCTGTCACCAGAATGCAAATTAGTTGTTGTGTGTATTTAAGCTTAGGGCTTTGAATGTTCTTAAGAGCTTCTGCCAGCCACGTCTTGCTGTAGCATACTCTCGCCAGCTCTGCTTGAAGCTATATTCCGATTTCACACTTAAACAATATAAGAACTCTCGAACCTGCTTAGCGTTTTATAAGTCACATTATATGCTATGCGCATATATTTCTGAAAATATTTATACCTGTAATAACGCTACCAATAAATAAAGAGATCGAAAGTCCGGTGTTGCAAGCAATATCCCCAACATCCTCCACAACTTCTCCAGCGGCTGCTGTAAATATTATTCCAAAAACCTAAAAATAAAACAGGTATTCTAAGTAAATAAAAAATCTTACTCTTTAAACCTTTTTTTTAATTTTATCGATAGATTTAATGTAACTAATTACCTGAGCTGATGCATTTAGTAAACCAGAAGATATAGATTCTGCTTCTGGATAGGTTATTTCAGCTGCAAACTCAAAGCCTAGTGGTAAGTAACCGGTCATAAAAAACCTATAATTATTAAAAGTAATTTTTATTTTAAGTATATGAATTATTTTTTTTAAACAACTTACGGTTAATACATATTCGCAGCAAACTGAACTACTTAGCAAGTACATTCGGGAAATCATAATATAGAATTTGAAAGCATTGGTTTTTAATGAACATGCATGATTAAACTAGAGGAAGGGAACACTTTTTATATTGGAATCAGATTTTATTTAACGAGTACATTACAAAGCTGCAATCTAAAATGTTAATGTAATTATATTTATGTACGCTTAAAAGTGAAATACTATAAAGAAACCAACGATATTTGCGAACAAATGTAACAGAATTTGGCTTAATTATTTAGAGCTTGGTGTTATTTGATTAAATTAAATATTTTATTCGAACGATATACATTAATGACAGCAACAGCAGAACTTGCTGCTCAAAGCGTAGCAGGTTCCTAAACCCTGTTTTCACCAATAATCATTATTTATAGAGTCAAACATTTTTAGCTATTGACAACAGAGTTATATGCTACAAGGAGAAAAACTGCTATTCATATACAATGAGATTATTTTCTTTTAACAACATCATTGCACACACGAACAGCAGTAGCAAATTTTTAGTCAGAAAATTTAGCTGAGTACCCAAGATGGAAGATATTAGTTATTCGACGAATTTATTTATTGAACTAGGAATAATAATTTTAGGTACTGATAAATATATTAAATGGAAGTAATAAAAACTTGTTTTTGCGTTCGCTAAGTATACAGATCCAAAAGGATTTTGTTGTTAAATGTTTTTTTATAACTTTTTGAACAGTTGGTCGAAGACTTACCACTCCTGTTTGAGAAATGGGTCAAATAAGGTAAGCTTTCAAACTATGATAATGTTTGTGAAATGCCACATTTAGTAAAATTTCACGAAAAAAATCGCAATGAGAAAAATGCTTTCAAGTTGAAAGGAAAGAGTTAAAATTAATAATGATAATAAAAAAAAAATAAAAAAAAATAAAATAAATTAATTAAAAAAGAGAGAGAGAGAGAGAGAGAGAGAGGGAGAAAAAGAACCTTTTAATCTTAAAGGATAAGAATCACCCTTATAAGGAATTATCGCATTTTCCCGTGCGTGCTGTCGTGGAGTAAGTGACTGCATGTAAAGCTGGCAATTGGAAAATCTGTGGTTCGAAGCCTGATAAGAACAAAGCTGATTTTCAAAAACAAAACCCTAAAAAGTGTTTATAATTTAAGATATTTTTAAGTGCTATGTTTGAGGACCATATACAAATAGTTCAAAATTAAAGCAAAATTGAATAATGACCCACCGATATAAAGTATTTGTAAACCTCAATTGAAAAAATTTCCAGTTCAGAATAAAATCTAGTGAACTTTAAATTTGCATATGTACCCTTCATTACTTTATATACAGTGCAGCATTTAACGCAATATTAACATGCAAATACTGTAGCCAGTTTTCGGATACATTTAATACTAATTTCCATTTATTAATGTAATTTTAAAAAATTGATGGAAATCAGCATACCCTTTATGAAAATTCTGGGTACGTCTTTGCCCTAAAAACTCGTTTAATATTAATCATTTCCCATCTGGTGTGAGAAAGGTGGCGCTTTTCCGTTTATAAGGTATTTCTCCCACTTCCATAGCGTGCCTTCGTGGTGTAGTGGTTCTGCACACTGGGCCGGTATTCCAGAGATCCCGTGGTTCGATTCCCGGCGAAGATGGTTGCATATTTTTCATCTTTCCTGCTTCCAATTAGCCTAATGACTCTACACGTTCATTGAACTGATAATCTGTTTTAGTCACAAGTCAAAAAATAAATAAAAGAGTTTTTGGAAAGTTGCGTTAATGTGCTATTTTTTCAATACCTCATCGACTTCGGGGTCCGCACACAGTTTCTGCATTCCTTTAATAAATCATTTAGCTGACGCGTGCCATTACTCGTTTCTCACAACAAGCTAAGGGACCTTGAGCATTTTCACTTGCTTCATCAACTTCGAGGTTTTTATCATTGCAATAAAAACTTCGTAAATTTAATGTAATAAATCGTATTTATTCGCTTCTTAGCTTTTATTGATTTCCTCAATTTTCAAATAATAAAATTCTTATTGACAGATCTTCAATGTGGCTTCCGTTTTAATTTAAACTGTATAAAATAATAATTACTTTTAATGAATACTTTATTAAATTAATACTAAAATAATATCCGGTAATTTTATAATTTAATTATTAATAATTACATATTAGTTATACTACCCGTATCATAAAATTAATGTAAAATAAATCAAATTTTCCTTCTCCTCCTTGTGTTAGACGCTTTCTGATTATTTTTCTTTTCCGCCGCCTTTTGCCTGTTTCATCAGGATATTTTTCGAATATGTCGAAAACCATTTCAGGTTCTCAGATCTGTGAACGGGAAAGATCTGCAAGAAAAAGGGGCCTACGTTAAGGGAGACTTAAGCGGTCATTTGCTAAAAATAAACCAAGGGAACTCACCTTTATTTTTAGAGAGTGAAAGATGCTAATGGCAGACGGTTCATTCAGTTTTGGTATAGAGTTGTCACTCTTGAAGGTTGGAAGTTAGGCAAAAAATGTATGACTACATGCGAGTGCTCTCATTCCAAAGAACTAACAATTTATGAAGTTACGCCCAAAATTTTCGTAAATATGTAATATTCACTGCTGCATTTTAAGTTAGGCTGTTCGACTCTTCGAATGTGAGCGCGAATTGAATTAGGTTGGAATAGTGACAGGAGGAAAAATTATTACGATGACAGAAGAAACTCCCTTGGTTTATACTTTATACCTTTTTTCTTCCTTCTTTTTTTCTAAAGTTTAAGGTCGGGTTTGTAGTTGGCAGTTGGCAATGTTGCTGCGTTATAATTTTTTGCTCAGCTGGAGAATTTTTTTCTTTGCTTAAAAGGAAAAGACTAGAATTTTTCTGCTAACATTCTCATATATATAAAAACTTAAAGCATTTAATACATACATACATATATATATAAACTTAAAACATCTAAGATTTCTCTCTCTCTCTCTCTATATATATATATATATTCCAGGAAAGCCAATGTAAGTAGGGAAAATAGCAACCTCAGATTGGGTTGGATTTTAAACAACAAAAACTATCGATTTTGAGGGTGATCATACAAAAATATTCTGCGAGAATGCTCTTGCTCCTGAAGAGGGACCTGTGTCTGATCGCTCTCGATATCCATAAAGGTTTATTTAAAATCTGCGTCAAAATAAGATTGTTATTTCGCCTAATTTCAAATAAATGAAATATTCGAGGTATGCGTCTAAGCATGATAGGTCTCTAGATTTCGAAAGCAAAAATTCCTCTTCAAACTAAGGCTCACTTTTATATTTTTCCCGAGGAGAATATATTCTCAGAATGCTATAAAGTAAACCTAATTCTGATGAATTTGAGATCAAGATCGTAATCTAATTTAGAAGTCTCAGACTGGAAGAATGTTCTTAAAAATTACTCTAATCTAAATATTATTATACTATACTAATTAATTATATTTTAATAGTAAGGCAAAATACACAATTAAAGAGACAACTAAAAATTTTCAAAAAGTTGAACCAATATCTGAAAGAGCCTTTGAGAAATCAAATATCCAGCTACTGTTTCACTTTATAAACTAAGTTAGTTCATAAAGTATTAAAGTTGTTGAAAGTGCTTTAATACTCAACTTTTAAGTTAAAAAAGATTTGAGACTTACCCCAGCAAGCCTGCCATAAGAAATAAAGACCACATGTTTCCATACCGCAGCACCACAGTAAATGCTACCATTCCGCAGAGTGATAGAATGTAAACACCGAGACATGTTTCTCTAGAAATTAAATTACATTATGTATTAAATTAAATTACATTATGTTTCTCTAGAAATTAAATTACATTATGAGTGTAATGCAAAGCCACACTTAACAAAAATAAAATTTAGTGCAAGCACTGTCAATATCGAGAAAAGAATGACCTCATCCATACACAATTCATGAACTATGTGTCTGACGAAAATTTTCACTAAAACAAGTTGATTACAATCGAAAGGAACCTGGAATTTTTATATACTTGAAGTTAGTAGATCTGAATTGCATTAATTTTTTTATTCTACCGTAATAAGAATAAACTTAAATCCCAGCTGCAGCTACCGGTTTATGTGGAAATCAGCATCCTTTTCCGCTGATGAGAGGCAATGAAAAAAAATCTGCAGAGGTAGTAATCGCTCAAGGTCTTCCCCTACGGAAATAGTTTTGTACTCCATAATTTTATTTAGATCATTATTCCATCATATCTTCTCATGTATTGTTTTATAAAATGCCTTCCAAAAGCACTAATTTATCCACCAGCAGAGACTACGCTAAACTATATATATATATTTAGATTTAGCTTATCTCAGGCCTTTTCACTTAATTTCTAAGCAATTTATTTGCCTACGTTATTCATATTTTTTGCCCGCGGTTACGATCACCAAAGGTTTGACCTCAGATTGTTGCCTTTTTTTCCTGGCGGAAGGGAGAGAATAAAAACTACCTGAGTGATATGGAGCTTTAAATGTTTTCTTTAAGACTGAAAATGTTCCTGCAGTTATTTTTAATTTTTGCTCTAAGTTTGAGAGCGTTCTTAAAATGCAGAGGTACTTAAAAATTGAGACTTTTTAAATTACAACAATATTTTTAAACGAAACACTTGCGATATCATTTAAGAAATTTTAAAAAAAGAAAGTTTTTAAAATTTATGGTAGCGCTGATGAAACAAAAGTAACGATCAGTATATTATTTTTCCTGTTGCAAATCTTAAGATTGTAGACTATTGCATATTTCCGAATTCTATCACTTAACTTTAAAAACGAATACTTACTTAAATCGATGAGTCTTGTCAAGTAATATACCACAAGCTACAGAACCGAGCATTCCAGAAATAACAATAGTCAGTCCCATCCATCCAACTCGTTCCTCCTCGCCCTTGTGAAGGAAGAATAAAGTTTTTAATGCATGCATATAAAAATAGATGAAAATGATATTTTTGGATGGATTGTTTTTTTTAAATAAAAGAATTAAATTAAAAATTATTTTTAAGATAATTTATTATGGAAATTTAATTTAATTGGCAGCATTAATCATAAGTTTATAATTACAAAATTATGTACTCTTTTTTTTTCTTCTAATCCGTTATCTGTATGATACTAGAATCTTTTAGAAGTTGATAAAATTTATTAAAATTGATAGGAAATATTTTACAGATAAGAGAAAGTAGAGCAAAATGGCGCAAGAAATGGTTCGAGTTCGTCATCATAGTGATGAATCTATATGTTTATATTAAATGAAATAGTAAAATTCGATACAGTGAAAATAAAGTTTTCTAGAATTATTTGAAAGACATTATTATGGAAAGAAAAAAAAAATGTTACTTTCTTCGCCCTTACTGGAATAGGAAAATATTCCTACTTTTTTCGATCCAGAAGTTGTTGAATAGTGAAACTATTTCTTTTATATTTGTTCTATTACCTTTACATTTATACTTAAGTTTTATTTTAAACGTTAACATACTCACCGGGTAATAGAAAAGAACCATCTGGTTTAAAAGCGTTGATATTGCATAAAAAACACCTACGTTGATACCTGAAAGTTAAACATAATATTTCAAACAAAATTAACAAAGAAATACAATATTATTTCATTTAAATTAATGCGGTAATAACGAAAGAAATCAAGGGAAGCAATACGTATTCCTATATGGTATTTCGCAAGGAAAACAAATAGTGCGCGAAGTTAAATTAAAACTTTTAATATATTAGATTTAAAATAAAAAAAGAGAAATAAAACATACATTTATTGGAAAGAAAAGCATTATGTCTAATACTTCCAAACGATTCAAAATTAAAATCTAGCACTGTAGTTATTATAATCCCAAAAAGAATTCTGCAGACATTTCATATTGCTACATATTTAAATGCGTTTCGGCCTTTTCTTTTACCACCTGAAGAATTCAGAAATGCACAGGAAATGAATCACAGCTAACTGTACGCGTTACACTCAGTGCAGAAGCGTTGTAGCAGACTAGCATACACGTTCCAGGAGTTCAGGGGCAGTCAGCTTTGTATGACATCTATGAATCTAGCGGATACGTGTTCAATTCGCTGCTAGAGGTCATCTGGTATAGAGGAAGGATGAAAAACAATTTGGCCTTTGAAGGCTTCCGGAAAAAATGCGGAGTATTCCTACCGGGGGATCGAGCAAGCAATGTAACAGGGCTACATCGAATATATTATAAACTCGAAAGAAGTACTTTACATATTACACTTCTTTTTCCATTTCCGTAAAATTGTGATTTTATTATATTATTTAATTCTCCAGTTTTTCGCTTAACGCTCCACTGGAAAATTTTTAACTCAATAGTACCTTTTACTATTGTGGTAAAAATTTTGCGCATGTGATATTTTTGGGTTCTACGAATGTGAAGTTACACATTTGGTAAATACTCGATTTGCAGAAATTATTTATTTCAGTTTAAAATAAAATTTATTCAGTACTTTCACTGATAACAATGAAGATAGCAAAACACATACGGTTCCCACCCTTCCCCCAATATATAAAATAATTATTAAATAAAACATGATGCTTCAGTTCTTAGGACACATACCAATGCTGGAGGTTTCGGTTACCGCGAAATAAATACATTCTCTGTCGGCTATTGTTATATATAATCTTGCGTTATTATAAGTAATGCGCGAATAATGGCTGTATTGTAAATTATTAACTGAGCAAAATTTCAAGCATGAATTTTAAAGAAAATATTGGATGACTTTTTACAGCTATTCTCATTTGTTTAAGAGTAAATTTAACATAACATTTTTAATGAATATATTCCACAGGCATGTTTTTACCAGGTATTAGATTCGAATTCTTCGTTTTTGAACTGCAGAAAATCTTTAAATAAAAATTTTTATTCAAAAATAAATTACCTTTTAAAAGGAATCGCTTTTCTAAAAAAAAACTTTAATTCTTTGACACCTTACCTACTTTTTAACAGCAGAGATTTAAAAAAATTTGTATTTCCTGTAAATAACAAGGAAGATGTGATTAAAATGCAGAATTAATGAGCCGAGTTTTAATTTTCGGGTGGTCTTCACACGGTCATTCATTGAAGGAAAAAGGAAATAAATAAAAAGCGCGTCTGTTAACTTAAATTAGAAGTGAAAATAATTTAGCCTCAAGTTAATATTAGCACACAATTTTGAGCAGGAGTACCTCCAAAATGATTAGTATGACTAAATGTAACTCCAAAATGAGTAGTATGACAAAATTTGGGGCAGAATTGGTGCAGAATCGAAATATCGAAACAAGTTGTCATGTCATTTTAAGAGCAAGTCCAATTTTGCGGAGAAAAATGTTTTGGGAATTCAACATATAAACCTAATATATATCCTATGCATTTATTTGCATAAAGGGACTATATTTTGTTCAACTTAATATACATTCTTTGTAGTATACCATAAGGCACTGCAAAGTCTATATTTAAGATAAAATTATCCTAATTCTTTCTTTTTTGCTTCAAAATTTCAGCACTAAAAACTTTGATCCTTAATCTTTGACGGGCAACTATGTAAAGAGCTTTAGTAATTTTTGCGCTGCCCCTCATTTAAACTTTGCATTTAATCGGTTATCAGCGTGTTGATTGTCGCATTAACTAGATATTGAGGATGTACATTATACCGTATATTTCAATAGTAAAATAATCTTTAGAATCCTCTGTATTCTGGCCAAATTTTTCAAAGAATAATTTTGCTTTATTTTTTTTAATTTAGTCTTACGTATTAAATGTTAATTATTGAAAACATTGTTTTGAATGAACTTTAAATGACTCCAAAATCTGATTACACGCCAGAATGTTTTCTTGTAATGATGTAGATAACTCTAGCTTTCAAAACAATCAATTCAAGATAAGTCCAATCAGTCTTTTTTTGTAGATAATCAGTTGATAACATTTGTTGCACTTGCAGGGAAATCATAAATAATTCAAAACAGAAAATAGATGACACTTAAAATAAAAGTTATAAATCTACGTTTAAAAAAGCTGAAGATTTTCCAGTTTTTCAAAATTACAAACGGAAGAGCCAGTATTTAGTTGAATGATTTTGCTTTTACAATAGTCTTCAAGCTTCATAGTTTCAGACTGACGAAATTTTGTCCATTCCTTTTGCAATACGTGATTCAAATGACCTCGCTTTGCTATTTTGTTTATTTTGAATCTAAATCTCAAATTTTCGAGAACACACATATGTAGTACTGATCTTATATATATGTAAGATAAAAAATATGTGAATCAAAATTATAATTTAAACTAATGGTAAAACATTAATTCTCCCTCTCTAGTCTAAAAATCGCAATAACTTCTCTTAATTGCGTCATTTCTAGACCATTCTATGGCCTGCGCAGCTCTGATGACGTAATAATTGGGAACTAAAACTACCATTGTAAAACAAAACTTTGCTCTTGGCGTGCTTCCATCTTTCATAAGTACGCACTTCAGCTTCTGTCTGTGCTTGGACATAATTTCGCTACGCTGCTTCCTATTGCAATAATATCAATAATGTAAATGTAAGTGTGTTCTTGAATAGGCACGATAAGGGTGCCAAGTGATCTGTGGCCACATAATGTCAATTGGAAATAAAAGTGGAATTAAAATCGCCTCGACTGCCAAGTTTTATTTACGAAGTCGACACATTAGCTTACGACGCAATCAGAATACTTCCTCTTCAATATTGGATACCTACGCATCAACAGTGCTCAGTCCTTTCCTTGCTTTCATTATGACATATATATATATATATATACCAGTGACGTAACTTGAGTTCATTACCTGGGTTATCTCCTGACCTCCTTATAGTGTATTACTGTTTTAAAAAATGAGAAAATCTATACTTCTGACTAGCTAAATGTATCTCTGACTCAAGTTATCAACCAGACATATTAAACAACATTTTAATAGATAAATTTAATTATTATATTCCTAATTATTTTCTATATAATTTATTTACAGAGTAGTTTTGCACATTTATTATGTAGCCAAATTTCATTAGTTTGCTTGTTCATGAATTCTAGTTTCCTTTGTTTTTACGTCTTAAGCTGTACTTTCGAAAATCAAGTCTTAATGACACGTTTCATTTGAGTAATTTTTCACATCCATCACAATGAGAGTTTTTTTAATAAAATAATTTCTTCGGCTCGCGTATGTTTGTGCAGTCTAAATTTTCTAGAAGTTCCTCTACGTACTGCAATAGTCCTAGCGCAGCTAGATTTACATTGACATTAGAAAACATCGCTCGTCTTGAACATCATCGCCCACCTTTTAGGCAAATAACCTTCGTGTGCTTTGTCTGAACCAATTAACCTAACATCATATTGGTTATTATTTCTACATGTAATTTCATGAAGGAAAATTACAATAAGAAACGTGTTAGATATTTCTAATGAGATTTGTATTAGTATTTCACTAGTATTAATAAGTTTACTATATACTTTGTGACATTTTAGGTCACAAAACACGTATTTAAATGATCAACTGATATTGGTAATAAAGAGCTAAAACATCAAACATCTCTTTGGACATAACTTTAAGGAATCTTAGGCCCCTTATGACCTGCAACTGGATAGTCTTGTTTCTCAGTAAAGAGCTACATCAATTAATATTTATAAAATAATTCTGTTTTATTTTATTCTGCTTTGTTCTTTTTTTCTTTAAAGAATGATATATTTCTGGCGACCTAAATCTTTAAAAGCACTGTACGCTTAGAAAGAACTTAACATTGTCCAAGCAGTAGCTAAATAACTGAATCTCATTGAAATCTCTCGAGATAATCTCGTTTAAAATTTCTATTGCATTTGAAAGAAATAGGCGAAGTAACATTAACTAAAAGCGTTCCTTTGGTAAAGATTTCTATAATAATGTAACTAATTTAAGAAAATCAAAATTAAATATTACAACGCAATAAAGCTAGTACAAATAAGCCTGAACACACCTCAAGCATAAATTGCTCTTATAATTAGACACAAAGGCAGAGATGAAGGATTATCTTTCTTAGCGAAGGCTAAGCAACTGTGCATGTTTCCCAATGATTCCATTGGGATACCTCATCCTCCCCCGAGTCTTCACTTTGTGTCACGAAGACAGGCTGTCTGTGCTACGATTGTTTAAAGTCTTGTTTAAAGCAAAAATTATTCTGTATTTTTTAAAGCTACAAATATATTATCCGAGAGATTTATTTATACCGATTTGCAGCGCGAATACTTTTCTCTGGGCTTCCAAAGAATACATTTCTACGCCAGGCTAGTCTAAAATACACTAGAGTGCAAAAATTAAGGACGAGACGGTTTTTTTCAATATAACTTTGTACAAAAGTTTTCCAAATCAACACATTTAATACCGTAAGATCCCCAATACGTAAGGACATGAGTAATGTAAGCAACACTTACCAAAAGAGAAATCAGAGGGATAAAAAGAAGCTTTATTGAAAAAGTAGCATGGAGCGCAATGCGACTGAAGGCCGAAAACATCCCTGTGATGGGTGTCCAGCAAGAAACATCCGGTCTTTAATAGGGGATATGATCTCCCCTGACTG